ATCCTGTGGCTCTGACCGTTGTCTGTGGAGGCATGGTGCCTGTGGGGTTTGAGTGGATGGATGTGTAAGTAGACATTGGTGGATGTGTAGTGGTGATGACCGTGTGAGTACTGGGAGTCACTGAAGGGGTGGAGAAAGGTGGAATATGAGTGGAAAGTGTGGTGTGAGGGTGTGGTGTGGTTGGATGGGTTGTGGTCGTCTTGAAGGATGTTGTAGTCGTGGGACCAGTGGAAGAGACAGGCTTGCTCCCAGTAGGTGGGGAGTGTATGGTGAAGGGTGTGGGTGGCCCATGGCTCGTGGCCGAAGTCATGTGGACTACAGGTGTGCCGGTTCCTGTACCAGTTGGCTTTGGAGTAACGGTGGTGGAAGAAGTTGGGGTGATTTCAGGACGGTGTGTGGAGGAAGTGTGTGAGTGGAGGGATGTTGGGGTTGTGGCTGTGCTGAATGAGCTGTGGGCTTGACTGATTCCACTGGTGGTCTCTGTAATTGGTAGGGCTGTGTGTGTGTCTCCTGTGGTCTTGACCATTGTCTGTGGAGGAATGGTGCCTGTGGGGGTTGAGTGGATGGATGTGGAATTGGAGATTGGTGGGTGTGTATGGGTGATAATCATGTCAGTACTGAGAGTCACTGAGGAGGTGGAGAAAGGTGGAATGTGAGTGGAAAGTATGGTCTGAGGGTGTGTTGGAGTTCGATGGGTTGTGGTGGTCTTGAAGGATGTTGTAGTCATGGGACCAGTGGAAGAGATAGGCTTGCTCCCTGTAAGTGGGGAGTGTGTGGTGAAGGGTGTGGGTGGCCCGTGGCTCGTGGCCGAGGTCGTGTGGGCTACAGGTGAGCTGGTTCCTGTACCAGTGGGGTTTGGAGTAATGGTGGTGGAAGCAGTTGGGGTGATTTCAGGATGGTGTGTGGAGGCAGCATGTGAGTGGAGGGATGTTGGGGTTGTGGCTGTGCTGAATGAGCTGTGGGCTTGACTGATTCCACTGGTGGTCTCTGTAATTGGTAGGGCTATGTGTGTGGATCCTGTGGTCTTGACCGTTGTATGTGGAGGAATAGTGCCTGTGGGGGCTGAGTGGATGGAGGGGGAAGTGGTTATTGGTGGATGTGTAGCGGTGATGACTGTGTGAGTACTGGGAGTCACTGAGGAGGTGGAGAAAGGTGGAACATGAGTGGAAAGTGTGGTCTGAGGGTGTGGTGGGGTTTGATGGGTAGCGGTAGTCTTGAAGGATGTTATAGTCATAGGACCAGTGGAAGAGATGGGACTCCCCTCTGTAGCTGTGGAGTGTGTGGTGAAGGGTGTGGGTGGTCCGCTGCTGCTGGCC